ACATAATAATTTACATTGTGGGGGAAATGATGAAAGTGACCGCAGAAGTAAGTTGACCGTTTATAACAGGTGGTCACTAAATCAGGTTTGACCATACATAAGCAATCACATTTTACCTTTTTTTTTCTAAAATTTTCTAATGCAAATTTAATAGCATTTAGGTTGATCTTTTCTCAACTAAATGCAGCTATTTATTATCAGCCCACCTTATGTCTTAAACAATTTAAATATATCTTAAAAGGTATCTTTTCAAATTTTCTTTCACTGATGGTTTTATGGAAATTTTAGAGTTTTGAAATACAGCTGACAATTACCAGGAACCCATCTTTAAAACAACAAAGTATTGTTTAAGATATTCTGTCTTTGCGTATTGCGGAGTTATCTTCTCTTGTGAGCAGGTATTGATTGTTAAGTCATTGGTTTGTGTGAGAAAATTACGCCGTTTTCTCAAAAATTGATGACGTTACTTTCACAAACAAATGACGTAACAATCAATACCTGCTCACAAGAGCAGATAACTCTGCAATATGCAAAGACGGAATAGGTAGAATCATGTATACATTTAGTGTACAAATTTAAACAAATCAGACAAATAAAAAACAAACAAATTATTAGGCAGTATACATGCAGTAAGCAGACAAAAAACTGTTAAGATACAATCAAATGTCCTGACTCAGATTGGTAAATAAGTAAAAACTGGATTCAATTCTCCGGCAGTTACCAACATTTTACAAATCAAACACGTAAAAAATATTTGGATGGACTAAAGTTAAGGATGGAGTTCACACAGAAATGATATGGAATGGTAATTATATATGGAATGAATGCTACTTCTGTAGTCTTCATGCAAGCATAAATGCAACAGGAATTTAAATACAGTGCAGTAAGTAGCATAACGAAAAAACTTCTATATTTATCAAACTGTATATTGCAAATATGGACATTTGTTTTGCTCTTTGGACATTTTTCACTATTATCGTGCTTTAAAAACCCAAATATATATCTATTAATCAATAGAAATAGGCAATTTGTGCAAACATATTATATATTAACATTCTACATAATAGATAGCTGCAGCAGCTGGCCAATATAAGAACATTTTTTATCTCTGTTTTTTTAAAAAAAGGGAAATGTTCAAAATTTCTGCAGGAGAAAACTTCCGCTTTAATACCATTAAAATCAAAGTTGTCAACAAACTCAGCAGATTTCAGTTAAGATTTTGTTTCAAAACTTAACATGTGATCAAAATCATTATGTTCTCTATTTTACGTAAATATAAACTCTATCTGATCTATTGTAACAGTAAGTCACTGTGTCTAACATGTCAACTACAAACACAATCTCTATATTTATGTTTAAATCATAACACAGTCAAGTGGAGTTTACCCTTCTACACATATTACCATACAGAGAGTGCTTAATGGACAATTTTGAAATTTCAACCCAAAAGGATGACGGGGAAACGGTGACTACCAATCGGAAAGAAATGGCTGCCATTTTGTAAAATAAATTTGGTATCATGACAATGTTTGGTGTAGATTTTGAACAAGTTTTATACCGTCACTCAACACATGGGCTGTATTTCATATATAAATCAATAGGGCTTCAGAATCGTGATGATAAATTGTGAATCAGCCAAAGTGCTGCCTTCTGTATCAGCCTCAATGAAGTCACTGAAATGGTGACAAGTTTCCGCAGCCATCTGATTTACAGAAATCTTAATCCATTTCTATCGAAAGTTTATCCACACCTCATGTCTCGACAAAAGATCAACGTGATGATTATGACAATTTCATTGTACTCCCAACACTATTTCAGGTCCGCCATCTTCGCTAGCCAAGGGTTACGATCCGGTACGATCTGGTCTACCTACTCTCCAAGTGAAGAGTAGGTAGATCGTACCGGATCATCACTGGATCGTACCCCTTGGCTAGCGAAGATGCAGGTCCACCTACTTTTCCCATAATTTCTTGTCTCTTTTAAAGTACTTTGGGAGTAATTTCAGCAGTATTACGTCAAAGCTGTGGAAAATAAAATAAAGGTGGTGTTCAAATACAGGTTCAGTTAGAATGAAAATAACTACAATATTGGGAAGTATCCAAAGCACAGGTGGTCTTTAGATAGAGGTTGGCCTGTTAAGTACGCTTGGCTGTACTGTGGCAATCTATTTTTGGTATTAACAGAGGACCTTACATGATATGATATGAACACAAATGTAAAATTCTATTCATCACATAACATTCATGATTTGAAAAAAACCTTCAAACACAATTATGTGTTATCAGCTTAATCTATCTAGGTCAAAACCAAAGTACTCCAATCATAGTAATGTCGCTCCATGCAGCGCAAAGTAGTTACAGATTTCATCTTAATAACGAACAGTTTCAAATGCAATGCAGATGACAATAACAAAATAAACATTTCAAATTCATTTAGAATAACAGTAAATATATCATGTGATGTTGTAAATAAAAGTAGTACCTGTAGTGGCGTAGGAATATGTTCCCACGGTTTTGACCAATCACAGCACCTTAAGGTTTTATTATATGACATAGAAAAATGGGTCTGATATGTGATAAAAAAAATTATTCTTCTATTTGGCCTTATCAGTGTTGTTCGTAGTTTGCAGATACTGCAAATAAAGTTGCTAATTTTCGGGAAGGATTTGATTTCGCAAATATTACAAATGGATTACCATTCAAGAATTCAAATACCTTGTTCTTCTTTTGTACTTTTGAAAAAAAAGACACAAAAAAAACTTTGATGCAAGAACAATTTTCTCAAAAAAGCGGAAAATGGATAAATATATTAATACGATTTATTCAATTCACAATTTTCTCATATCAATTCCGCATGTATTTTGTGGAATGAAAAGTTCTCAAAAACGTTCTATATAAAATTGAACAGCAGCAGTTCAGAGCAAAAAAGGAGGAAATAATATGGGAATATATAAAAAATATCACCTTAAAAATAAAAAATAAGAAATATCACAGGAATCACATATAATTAATTGTTTTAAATACAAATTTCTTTGTGACTATTTAAAGCTTTGCATATAATTTGTTTTGTATTGCTTATGGGTTTAACTTTTCTTTTTTCTAAAAATACAACAACTATAACACAGGTTATCTCCCCTTGACCACTAATGGACAGTATTGCTTCAGCAGATATGATTATCTCCCCTTTGACCGCATTTGGTATGAAAGTACACAATTAACAAACATTCATAATGGAACATAAATATGTATGTTCTCTTAAAAAGTAGAAAAATGTTGTACGTACGACATACTTTTGTGATTTATTTATACAATAAGCTTCTTATGCATTCCAGTTTTTCATGGGCTTTTCTGACAAAATAATGATTGTGTAAAATTTCAAAGTTGCAATCTGATCTATGTAATGAATTGAATTTGAGCAAAATTCAAGATGAGAGGAATTCTGTTGATTTCAAAAGTCAGAAATATTTGTAAAAATTAGGAAACTCTCTAGATTAATGAGACAGCAGTAACACAAACAAATGGATGTAAAAAAAAAGATGATGATAGAATGATATAAATATAAACAAATATTTTTGCAGGTTTCAAAGAAGCGTCATAATGTTTTAAATTAATTTGCATTTAAGGGACCAACTAGTTCAACGGCTGCCAGTAAAAACAGATATTTCTCAACACACATATTGGCTGATGACCTTCAACATCCACAGCTACACGAGAAGTAACAATTATTTACAAAAGATCGAATGATTAAGCTAATAAATGTTTCATCATTGAAAAAGTGAACACAATTTACAGACGTAAAATCTCCAAGTATATTGTATAAATTATACCCTTTTACCCAGAAAAAGTGTGACTACGTAGTTTACGGTGAGGTACACGTGTATCTATTATTCTTGACATTTTTCGACACTTCTGCAGATTTCTTACATTTTCTGCTTATCTAATTCACCAACAAACCTAGCTCTCTCTTATCATTCCTTACATCACTATTTTTACAAATTTCACTGAATTTGTATCCTGCAGGACATGAAATAATCGCTGAGTATAAACATTCATGGTTTTTCGTGGTTGTCATGGAACCACTCAAATACTGAGACACTAAATTTAATTGATGTACTTGCTTACTGTTTGTTTATGTGGGGTAGCCACAAAACAATAAAAATAGCTTCAAACCATGAAGGAAAGTTACCCACAACCATTTCATGTTATTAAAGTTTGTAATTTAAATAGTTATATTTGAATTCACAATTGATGCTAAATGTAAGTTTATGCAAAAATGTGAATTGTTCTAACTACAAGCAATCTAGAGTGAAACACATTCAAGATCTGGTTGTTATACATTCTGTGGCCTTGATGTGAAGTTTAAAACATGCTTCAATGTATTACACTTAATCTGTGTCCAACTTGAAGCTTGGATCTAACTAGGTTTGAAGCATTCTATCCTGGATCTTACTAGGTTTGAAGCATTCGATCATGGATCTAACTAGGTTTGAAGCATTCTAACCTGGATCTTACTAGGTTTGAAGCATTCGATCCTGGATCTAACTAGGTTTAAGCATTCTATCCTGGATCTAACTAGGTTTGAGCATTCTATCCTGGATCTAATTGGGTTTGAAGCATTCTATCATGGATCTAACTAGGCTTGAAGCATTCTATCATGGATCTAACTAGGTTCGAAGCATTCTATCCTGGATCTAATTAAGTTTGAAGCATTCTATCATGGATCTAACTAGGGTTGAAGCATTCTATCCTGGATCTTACTAGGTTTGAAGCCTTCTATCCTGGATCTAACTAGGGTTGAAGAATTCTATTATGGATCTAACTAGGTTTGAAGCATTCGATCCTGGATCTAACTAGGTTTGAGCATTCTATCCTGGATCTAATTCGGTTTGAAGCATTCTATCATGGATCTAACTAGGCTTGAAGCATTCTATCATGGATCTAACTAGGCTTGAAGCATTCTATCATGGATCTAACTAGGGTTGAAGAATTCTATTATGGATCTAACTAGGTTTGAAGAATTCTATCATGGATCTAACTGGGTTTGAAGCATTCTATCCTGTATCTAACTAGGTTTGAAGCATTCTATCATGGATCTAACTAGGTTTTTCATATGTGAAGCATATCATACGAAGTCAGTCTTAAAGAATATCAAACTCGACCAATCCTTCAATATCTGTTGATGTTTGAAGCATAATCTGATTTTCTCTTTGAAGCAGAGGCTCCTACCTAATCCAGCATGTCTAACATGCAAATATATAGTACCCCTTTAGTCCTGTAGGAAGCATGGCCGCTCTCTCTTTTGTTTGAGAAATATGCAATGACTCCTGGAATTATAATTCGTTGTGTCGCGAGACGTCAGAGTAATGGCCAATGTCATACATCCGTCTGATGACTAACATTCACAGAATTTTCGCTGACCTCAAGTTGTGATTTACTACAAACCATGCTCGAGGGTCTCTCCCGGTCGGAGCCCCGCGACTTGTCTAAATTTGCACTTTGCGACCTGTCCCTCTTTGTGCCTTGAGACTTGTCCCAGTTTGCATCCAATGACTTGCTCCCATTAATGTCTCGTAATTTTTCTACACTAGAGCCCAGAGATTTGTCCGAGGTTGCACTTCTGACCCTCCTGAAGTCCAGAGTTTTCTCCATGCCAGAACTCTGCGTCTTCTTACCACTGTTGTCTGTCGCAGATGACTTGCTGTTTTTGAGGTAGCCCATGGCTTTAATTGTTTTGTATTGTAACGGAATCTCCATCATAACATGAAGCGCTAAATTTGCATCAGGATGTTTCGATTTGGACGTAGCCTCATGATAATTTACAAACTGAAAGTTGTCGAAGGTACGAGACGGAAGATGATTGTCGAATTCCTCCATGAGGTCCCAAGGCCCATCCCCCACACCTACGACCACGATACTGAGGGGATACTTGGAGGCCTGGATAATTGCGTCTATGGTGTGCTCCTCCTCATTCACCTGCCCGTCTGCTATCACAATCAGGATGTGATATGTCCCCGTCTTTTTAACGATATCTATTGCCTGATGAATTAACGGGGCGAAGTTTGTCGGACCGCTGAGAATTAACTTTGAGGCCATGTTACTGTAGCACTCGAGCACTTCCTTAAACCCACGACACATCCAGTCGTCATTGAACAAAGGAAACACCTTATCGCCCAGCGTCACACTGTCGCCGAAGCCATATGCGGGGATGATGTTGTCATCGTCGAATGGCTCCAAAGTTTGACCTATGATTGAGATCACTTTTTGGTACGGATTGTACACCCGCCCCGGAACAATCTTATGCAGACACTGCCCGTTGAACGACTTTCGTCCCTGCCACTCGTTAGATGCGGTGTAATCAACGCCAATGATTAAACCACATTTTTCTAGACCTGCCTTCTTACATGAATCGCTGACTTCCTGAAAACTGTGAAAGTGGTCGTTAAATGAGTAGAAGGGTTTGTCTGTGTAGACGATTCCAAGTGCTTCTAAGAGCGATCCCTGGCGGTTCCGCAGGCGTCGGCGACGTACACTGCTGCGTGCGTTTTGTGGTGACTGGGGTGTCTTAAAGGGGTGCTGATACAGCCAATAGAGCAGGAACCAGAGGGAGTTGGCCAGGGAGTACATAATTACCGCGAAGGCGGACATCCCCGCTCCCTCTACCGTCTCAATACATGGGGAGCCCACGGCTGAAAATACACAGAAAAACAGGTAAATAATAAGAACTTTTCACTGAAATGCTTTACAACAGTTCAGATGTATTTCAAATGCTTTTAACAAAAAGTGTTTTAACCCTTTCACCACTGTGGACCATAATGGACTCATCCATATCAATGCATGGTAGAGACTACTAATGTTACATAGGGGTGAAAGGGTTAATCCAGGAAATCAAAATAGTATTCCAACTGTTATATTTTTCATGGAATTCGCAACTGCTTGATCTGAACACAGGAATATACTAAGCCAACCAGACCTTAGTCTTAATATTCATATATAAATGAAGTTGTTGATTTTGAATACCCGACACTTAACGACATGTTCCCCATTGATGGATCAATGGTTCCATTAAGACAGTTCTCACTATACATAAACTCTGTTTTCACTTATAGTGTCAAGTTTCATCGGATCGTACGTTATCCAGCTTAACCTTCGATTTTACTGGAGTCCAAACAGGTCTGTCAGTGACCACAACTGGTCAAGTGTCCAGACCAGTGGTCAGGCCAGACTTTCCAATGTCTGACCATGACAGCTGTCAGTTACTGATGTTAATCAATGCAATTACCTACCCCTGTTTCCAATCATAAATATATAATGACTTCGATCACAAGCTCTGGTAACATAACAGATTAACTCATTCACCCCTTACCACATTTGAATTCTTCCAATTCAAAGGTTGGAATAGTTCATTATGGAACTTCAGGGGTGAATGCGTTAAACGAATCTTTCGTTGTATCATATTGGTGACATATCATATTAATCATTCACCCCTGATGACACATTTTAACTCTTCCACTTCAAAGGTTGGAATAGTTCATTATGGAACTTCAGCGGTGAATGCGTCAAGCGAATCTTCCAATGTATCATATTGGTGACATATCATATTAATCATTCACCCCTGATGACACATTTTAACTCTTCCACTTCAAAGGTTGGAATAGTTCATTATGGAACTTCAGGGGTGAATGAGTTAAGCAAATCTTTCGCTGTATCATATTGGTGACATATCATATTAATCATTCACCCCTGATGACTCATTTGAACTCTTCTACTTCAAAGGTTGGAATAGTTCATTATGAAACTTCAGGGGTGAATGAGTTAAGCAAATCTTTCGCTGTATCATATTGGTGACAAATTATCAAGGTATGCACTGTATCATATTTTCATTCATAATCGCTATATTTTACACAATTCCTCAATTTTGTTTTGGATGTAACTGTAGCGCAAATGTACAAGGCTACTGACGTAGCTCAGTTGGTGAACATGTCAGTATAAGGATTGGAGGTCCTGGGTTCCAAATTAGTCTGGCCATGTTGAATTTTTACACTCTGAACATTTTAATTTTTCTTCTTTAAATATTTATTATCCTTTTAATGTAAGGTTTTGTTTTCAGAAATGATTTTAAATTACTATTATTGTTATTATCACTTGTTGTACTACGTAATAATGTAAGTCCACAAAATTGTTATGATGTATCTCCAAAATAAATCATTCTCCTGAAGAGCTTTGAAGCAGCGAAACTCTTGAGAATCAGTCTTCTTGTGATTTTTAAATGTGCATATCCAACTTGTGTATAATGTACACACATCATTTCATCTCTAATCATATATAATCCAGGATTACTCATTATCAGTACAGACACATTGCGTGTTGACAAATAAGTATAATCTGCTTTGATTGTCATTAAAATTTCCCACAAAAAAATTGTTGTTAAATTTCCTGTTTAGAATTACAGGACAAAAACTGTGAACAGATTATATGTATTGAAATGCTGAAATAAATGACAAAAACATTTTGATTTTAGTTGCTTTATTAAACCTCGTTATTATCAAATATTCCTTTAAGGATCCTTGTACCATCACAAAAACTTCTAACTATTAAGGATCCTTGTACCATCACAAAAACTTCTAACTATTAAGGATCCTTGTACCGTCACAAAAAAACTTCTAACTATTAAGGATCCTTGTACCATCACAAAAACTTCTAACTATTAAGGATCCTTGTGCCAACACAATAACTTCTAACTATTAAGGATCCTTGTGCCAACATAATAACTTCTAACTATTAAGGATCCTTGTACCAACACAACAACTTCTAACTATTAAGGATCCTTGTACCATCACAATAACTTCTAACTATTAAGGATCCTTGTACCAACACAATAACTTCTAACTATTAAGGATCCTTGAACCATCACACAAACTTTCAAGTATTAAGGATCCTTGTACCATCACAAAAAAATTATAACTATGAGCTGGAAACTTTTTTACTGGGACGACAATTGCTAAACAAATTAAAATCTTTTCTGATAGGAAATCTGTACCTAGCCGAACTTCTAGTGAAATAAAGTCATGAAGATGAAAAGAACAAAATTGTATACAATCAACAGATTTCAGGTCCTACCAAACACAACATGGCTATCATGCTGGCCAGGATTTTAACCCTAGACCTCTGTTCACGATACAATAACCCTCAACCTACCAAGATAATATATTAGCGGTTATGTAATTCCTGGACGAGTCCCACTCAATTATGAGGAGGTTACCATTTGTTTGGAAAACTACAACGAAATTCCTTTGTACTTTGCATGTAGTGTTTTTCGTACCTCCCCTTAATTCTGTGTTGGCTATTACCGTTATTAACGTTGAGCCTGGTCACGTCCGTTGACAAGGTAGTGACTGTACAACAATCTGAGGTCCAGGGTTTAAATCCTCACAGATTTAACTCCACAGAAGTTTTATACTCAGAACATTGTTGTTGATTTCATCTTCATCAATTTTTCATAAAGTCCTGCAAGGCATGGTTTTCTTTTCAGAAATGATCTATCATAGCTATAGCCATTCCAGAAAATTCAATGCTTAGTGGCACTTTTTGGCAGATCCTTAAAGTACCCACAATTCCTATTTCTATTTTGAGCCTGACTCATTCCCAGGCTCTTCACCATAATTTACCAAATTACCGCATAAAGTGTCCTTAATGGCTTTTTTTTGAGAATATCTAAAGGTTCCGCAATCATATTATTTTCCGAAATTGCAAGGCTCATGTTAAGTCAAAAATGGTATGCACTCTGACATGAATAAAACTAGATACTGTAAAAACACATGTTATTTCCTTTGTATTATTGATAGATAAATACGATAGTGTGGTTTTAGTTTAAGGTTTGACTGCAATATTCAGAAGTATTGAATAATACTGCGTCTCTAAATGGTAATAATACTGAAATAACCGACATTTTATCCATATGTGATTTAAATAAATGAAACCTTGTTCATAAACGTATAAACATTCGTGGCAGACTTTTACACACAATGAAATACCAGACCTTTTAACAAATTACTACACCAGAATCTTGAGTCAGGGAACAAAGAAATCATATCTCCCGACGATATATCTATGGTAATTGTCTGTTCCGTGGAAATCCTGGTAACACATTAGTCTGCGTAACAGCAGACAGGATTATGTGTGGTTGTTGTTCTGTACCATTAACCTTAGTCTGCGTAACAGCAGACAGGATTATGTGTGGTTGTTGTTCTGTACCATTAACCTTTGGCGGTGTTTTCCGAGAGATTTAACGCTACAGATTTTCGTGTGAAAGGCTGCATTAATGGAAGGGAGGTAATACAAATCCTCTGTTGTTTCAGCTGGAAGGACAAAACACGTATCCACTTGTACTCTGTGGCATAAATCTGTATGTACTTACAGGAGAATCCATTTCAGAAAGATTTATTAGAAGAATCTAAGATTTTTTTCGTTATAATTTTTTTTTTTATAAAAAGCCAGGAATTTTTCACAATTTTTATATAGCAAGCCACTCAGATGAGCTTAATAGAGAGAAAAAATTTGATGAGTTTTATAAGCTAGTAGTTAGTGCCTGATAAGGCAGCTTCTGCGAATTCCTCAAAATTGTATTGATTAATGTATATGCTAATTGTATTAATTGTATATCTATGTACTGTAAAGCGCTTTGGAGTGGCTTATGTTAGCTAGATAGGGCACTATATCAAATGTTGTATATTATTATTATCATTAAAGCTTCAATTGAAATGAAAACAAAATTTCAGATCCCTTTTATCAAATGATAAAGTATTCCTGTGAATATTGTGCTGAACACACTTTGCAGATCATTCCTGAAGTCTTAAATTGTGCAATCTTGGCTTTGAATTTTCTCCATGTGCTGGTTTATAATTTGAATGTCTGCCGACGTCATTTAATTATTTTTTATGCAGCAATATGATATATTAAATGGGCGTTTTCACTGAACGATACGGTAGTCGTGTGACAAATAACCAAACTAAATTTAGCTAGAAATTATACAAACTACGAATAAATATTGTACAGGATGTTTATAATTGTCGTTGTTATGATTGATTTGCATGGAAAACACCGTTTAACACCCCGCCAAACTATTCTCAATTTGTATCTTCCAAAAACAAAAACACATTATTTTGATTTAAATTAAATGTGAAATTCAAAAAAATCTATTTCATTTTCTAAATATTAAAATTTTCCCATTATGTAAAATAAAAAGCCATTAATCACCTGCTTTCAGTCTATGCATTCATAGTCAATATGATTAAATGGAATGTTACAAATTCATCCTGACATTTGCCTCAAGGAATCTATCATTCAGTTTTTTTTCTATCAGTTTTCCTTCAATTAGTCGACATCTTCCATAACATGTCATAAAAAATCCTTAACGAGATGATGAAGAGGCTGACCTTAAATTCACGGGGTTTGAAGGGCGGCATTCAAAACGAATATGAATGCCACCAGGATTAAATCTAAAATAACAAGAAGCATATTATTATGTAAAACTTTCCTGTCAATGCATGGTGTTCATATATTCTTGGATTGGAAAACCAACTGAAAACAGTTTAATACTGATATTCAATGACCAGATTTTCTTTTCATGAAATAGTTCAATTTTCTGACAGTAACACATTCAATAAAATGTTTAGCTGATGAAACAACA